ACAAAAGCTATTATGACATGATGTAGAGCTTTGGCCTCTTTATTTTCTTTTTTACAGTTAATTCCACATGTAAAAGACTTCATAAAGCACTATGGCTCTGGCTATACCTGGAATGATCTGCGGAGGATGGAGCTGGTTATTCTGGACAGACTGCACTGGGACCTCTACATCCAGACACCGCTGGACTTCTTGAACATAGTAAGTAGGAGGAGTCTGCAGAGTCTGCCCTAGACTCAGCTGTGCCTTTGGAGCAGCTGTTCACAACATAGGACGGCAAAGCACAGGCGTGCACACGTCCCTGCACATGCACCACAGTGAGGTGACCCACAAGGCTCACGACACACGGAAGAGTGAAGATGTATCTTAAATCCAACACAGTTCCACCAGACTCCCACTTCTGAAGGACATTAAGTTAACTTTACAAAGACTTTTAGACGGCACTATTATGGTGAGTTTCTCCTTTAAATACACACTGCAAAAATATTTAACTTTCCATTCTATGAATACTGTACATAAATAGCTGTCTTGCTTTTTCTACACTTTACACACATTCACTTAGCTGTCTTTATTCACCTACACACAATCCTTTTTGAGGCTGTAGACCATATTGATCTGGCACTTAAAAAAATATCATACATTAGTTTGTATTTGTTGGGGAAATGATGGTCATCCTTAAGGATATGATTCTGTTAGTAAGGCAAAATTATGCAATGTGGAAATGTCATGGGGTTTTGGTTTGTTACGAAGCATGAAGATTAAATCACTAAGGGCTGTTTCATGATGAAAACTGGCCACTGTTGCCAATTTGCAGAGTTTCTTCCCAGCCAGGCAGATACAAGTAACTGTTCTACTACCCTGATCTTGAATAGTATGTTTCTATTTTTCAGAACGGAAACATTGTCATGTAGGTACTTTAGGCTTATAATGCCCATTTCACAAAGAAGACTCTTTTCTCTCCAGGGTTGAGGCTCTGCTTGGCCACAGATTAGGTATTAAGCCTCAAGTCCCTGGTAGAACCATGGATAGGAATGAAAGGGGGGGGGAGGGGCACATTTGATGCTCCCTGATGGAAGTTTGAATTGTTTGTACTTTTGGTCATTGATACATGAAAAGTGCAGGGTTTTCTGTTCTAACTTTAAAAACCATGGTCTCCAGTTCCATGCCCTGGTGGTCCTGAGCTGGCCCACTGTGTTAGAGCTGCTGCCTCAGAGGAATCCTTCCCTCCACGTCGCATCCCTGACCAGGCAGCTGCAGCACTGTATGGCGGGCCACCAGCTGCTGCAGTTCAAGGGCTCCACACTGGCCTTGGTCATCATCACCTTAGAGTTGGAGAGGCTCATGCCCGACTGGTGTACTCCTACATCTGATCTGCTAAAGAAAGCACAGGTAGACATCAACTTTGCCCCAGACCAGGCTCTGCATTTTGCCCCTTAAGCTGATGCACTCTGACCCCAAAAGGGTACCTATGGCCCTTCTTGGCTCTTGTGGGCTCCAGAAGATGCCCTTACCATCACTCCCGAGGGGGCATGTGTGAGAGCTAGGCTTTCTACAGTTGGCCATGCTCTGCGGGCTTGTGTATGGGACACGTGTTCCCTTTACTGGACCTATGGGGGTGGGCTTATTTAACAGCGGGCTTATTTATCTCAGCGGCAGCCCTTGTAGGCAAGAGAAATGTGGGGAGGCATGTCCAGCTCAGAAGGAAGGAAACCTGAGCTGAATATTGGGGAGTGTAAATTCCAGACCCCACCCACCCATCCACCCCTCTGTATAAGTGTGTGGTGCCAGGTACTGGGTACCATGAGGAAGGTGCTTCTGGGGGGCTTTGGGAGTGTGTCAGAATCCCTCAGAACAGATGGTTAGCATGGAAAGTATAGTTAGACTGACAATTTTACTGAAGCTGGAGATGGGTGTCCCTAAGATGGCAGGGTTAATGCACTTTAGTTGGGTGGTTGGACCTTCCTGAAGTTGCTTCATGCTAACACCATAGCATTCAACTGCCTCTTCCTTTGAATGTGAGATAGCCCTGCTTCAAGGACGGCCGCTGTGTTTTAATACAGGTCAGCATTGAGCGGTACAGCAGATGCAAAGAACTCGTAAAGCAGCAGTTGAGTAGTTTTTAGCCATCCTCCTGTGCAGACAATGTCCTGTTTCGCCTGCTAGCTGGCCCCTCTGCCTCCACCCAAGTGCCTTTGGAGTATAATGGCAACCCTCCTTGCTTGGACTCCTATGAATTATTTGGCTTTATGAATCCCATAACAAGAAGGGAAGAAGGCCCCAGATGAAAAACAGAAAAAAAATCCTTGAGGCCTGAGAAGAAAATAAGCGTGGGGGGAGGAAACCAGGTCGGGGTCTATAGATGTCAGGTGGTCTGACAGATGATGATCTCGCCTTCCCCCTCTCTCCCCTGGGCCTGAAACCAGGGAGAATGAGTGAATGCTCAAATTGCAGCTTGTTGTTTCTTCCTTCTCCAGTAAGGGAGTTGGCTCTGGCCCTCAGAGTTTGACTATGTGACCAGGATGCGGCCCTTGCTCAGGCCGGGGCTGTTCCTTCTGGCTTCCAGGCTCATTCCAGACACATGTGCAGTGCTTCAAGTCCCAGCTGCCCTGCCTGCCACTCCCCACATGGGACAGTTTCTCCAGACACATCTACCCATGACTTTTTACAGAGTATGCTGTTTAATGGACCGTAACGTGAGCAAGCTTTAAGCATAGTTTTCCTTTGTTACTCTTAAGCAATGTAGCATAAGTTATTAGTCTGACTAGGGGAATTTTATGCTGGTAACACCTTGATAAGAGGTGCAGCTCGGAGTGCTTTCTGTGGAGATGAGCAGGTTCTGAGACTGAGCTGCCAACCACTGTGTTGCCAGGAAGAGGAGGAGACAGCTGCCTCTCTGAAGTCCTGCTTCTGTAGAGCCACTCTCTAAGCGGGGGGCGCAGCGCACAGAGATGCCAGCTGGGGCTGTGTGAGTGCTGCCGGGGACATGAATGAGCCATTCAAAGGTGTTTGTGAAGTCTTTCCACTGTGAAGAGTTTTTTGTTTTGTTCTTGGGGGTTTTTTTGGTAAATGTCCTAAGCCGTGGGACAGGGAGGACCATCTGCTACTAGGTGCAAAGTGGTCAAGGGCCAGATATACTATAATTGTCTATAGAGTCAGTAAACATCTCTACCTTTCCTTGATAAAAAATTTGCTTGTTGGAGTGTTTGTAAAAAAATAAACTTGACTTGCTTCCCCTCCTGTCATTTATGGGTTATTGTGCGTTTAGATTTGCTAGAGCCAAATACCCTTGGAAAACTATCTCCTGGGTCCTAGCAAGAACTGTCCTCTAGTCCAGCACCCATTTCACAGGTGGAGGTGCCATGCTGCTCGTGGCCACAGCTTCCAGTGGTGGCACGACTGCCCTCTGCCTCCTTCCAGTGTGAGTGGGCCCCGTGGGGGTGGAGTAGGAGTGCATACTGAGGGCCCACACCAGTGTGGGCTGTTTGGGGCCTTGAGGGAACTGCTGGGGGACATGTGGGCTCTTGAACAGGTGGTTCTGGATGTGTGCCGGATCCCTGGCACTGACCCAACTCTCAACCTCTTAGAGAAAGCAGAAGGTGGACCTGTGAGCCCCAGGACTGGGGTAAGAGACTAGCTTGCTGCTCTGCCTTTCTGTAGGGAAGCTAACTTTTGTATTGCCAAAGTGCCGCTTGTGAGTTTTAAAAACTCTTGTGTGCCATCCCAGCTTGCCTTGGCCCCGGGTCCTCTCCTACTCCCCTCTAACATTCTGTTCTGACCTTAGGAGCTCCTACCCCACCTCAGCTCAGAGACTGAGAATCGTGGCTAGGGGAGACACATGGGCACAGTTCCTCTTCCTCTTGTCCCCACCTGCAGACAGGCAGGGGCAGGTGAAGCACCGAGGGTGTAGAAAACAGAGATGGGAGAAGCTCAGAGGTGGATCCTGGGGCAGGGGAGAGGTAGCATTGCACACCTTCCTTAAACTTGTCCCCGTGGTGCTTCCCTGACATGGTTGAACAGAGTTGCACAATGATGTCCCTCCCTAAGGGCGCCCTCCCTACCCCTGGCTTCCTGAGCGTGTCTGCCCTCCCAAGCTCGGTGCTTTCTTTGCCTCCCTGCCTTCCTACAGGTAGAGCTGAGCTGACGCCTTTGCTAGGAATGTGTGCAACCCTGTCCCCCTGCTTGGTTCCCCAGTCTCAGTCCCCATTTTCTTTTTGTCTTTCTGGAACCTACATAGTGCCCAGTAGAAACAGCTCCTCAAAAAACCCCCACACTTGCCACGTCCTATTGCCATCCTCTGCCCTTCCTCCGCCACGTGCTTGCCTGCCCCCCAGGGCTTCCCACCTATGCCAACCCATCTCAGGTCCACCATCCCACACTGTCAGACTGAATACTTCAACATGGGCCAGCATTCCATGATTCTTCCATCATTCCACTGGGATGCCAAGGAGCAACTGTAGCTCAGCAATTAAGGGTTCAGATGACCAACATGCACATCTCATCTCTGTCAGTTGCTTGCTGTGTGACCGTGAGTCATGACTTAGCCTCTTTGTGCCTCACCTACAAGATGGGGTGAATTAGGGTACCTAATCATAGGATTATGATGAGGGTTAGAGGAGTTAATGCATGTAATGCACTTCAGAGCACTCTCAGTGCATAATGAGCACTCAAGTGTTAGTCATCCCATGTGAAGCCTCTGGGATAGGGGTGTAAACTTCTTGAGGGCAGGGTGTGCCTTCTCTCCTGCCCTGCACCCAGCTGCCGAAAGATTAATGACCCCGAAGACTGCCTCTTGTCCTTCCCAACTGTGACTCCTTCCTCTAACCTACAACCTCCACAGGCCTTTATCAGATGCAGGATACCCTAGTAAAACATGGTTCCTACCAACCTCCACGAAGTTCACAGAAAAGACACACTGTGTTTTACCACAGTTGCAGCAGAGTAACAGGCTCAGGAAACGTGTTAAACCAGAAAAGCTACTGCCCAAAAAAAGACACCACAGAAACTCAAAATAAATGCAAAATTTAATGAAAAAAAAAAATGAGTACAAAGTGAATGGAAAGGAACAAAAACAGTCAATGAATGAAGGAGTAAATGAATGAACAAGTGAAGCAGTTTTAGAAAAGCATGTTAACGTAACGGAGTGGCAAGCCACGCTTCCCTCGGGCCTCTGATCCCCACGTTACAGGAAGCCCACACACAGACATGCACAAACATATATGCATTCAGTCTGTAAATTACAAACCACCTAGATCAGTTACCCATTAGGAGACCATACATCCCAGTTTGTCTGGTTTATGCCTGTTGACCTGGAGTAATTACTAACAGCATCTCCGTTCTCTCTCAGAAGTCCCAGTTTGGACAATAAATTATATGGTGATTCTTCCACCCCAAACCAACATGGTTTATGAAAGACATGATAGTAAATGCCAACATGATCCTACGAGACAGCCCTAAAGATACCAATGAATAACAATGAGGAAAAGAAAAGAGAGTTGAACGAGATCCTGCAGACAGGGTCGCATTCCATGAGGGGTAGTGTGTTAAATAATGGCAAGTTTTAAGTTCACCTTGTGCACCATGGACTAATTAATTTGGTCTCAGAAAAAGATGACAAGATGTCACACACAAACAGCAGGGAGAGGGGGACACTGAGGCCTGCTAGAGCTGAGGGGATCCATGGAGGCAGCTCAGTCCCCAGAAAATGCAAGTCTGCCAGGTCTCGCCAAAACCGCTGGGAGGTCTTCGGCCTGGAGGCAGGCAAGCAGCCACAGTGATGGCTTCCAGTGTGCCTGAGGTGTGGCCCACAGGCTGTGGTGGACAAGTGGAGGAATCAGTCTGCTCTGGAGTCCCCAGGTTGGCCCACAAACCAGGAGTTCTCATTTCTTACACCACCAATGGACCTGCTGGGTCACTGAGCCTCGTCTTCAGAAATACACGAGCTGAAATAGGCTATCTTAAAGGTCGTAATTAGACCCAACTGGAGACACTCAGACAAAAAGCTACCTAGAGACGAGCCCCTGGCAGCCCACATTAGCCTCAGATCCGCCAGTTTACCTTTGTAGATACCCACACTGAAATGTCAGTTTTCGGTTACAACCAGAGGTGGACTCTGGTGAAGCCAGTGAAGCTTAATCTTCAGGGCCCCTTCAAAGACCCTAGACCTAATTTATATTTATATTCTTTTTCTTAAAGGAGTCTTCCTAAATAGTCCAAGCTTCCAGCCCCATAGAATCTGGATCCAGCCCTGGTTGCGGCGTAACACTTAGAGATTCACCACTCTACTTGGCAGGTGGAGCCCCTCGCATGGAAAGGCTGCCTCTCCCTGTGCCTCGGTAGACACACACAGCTCATCCCTCTGCCTCTCCCTGGGGGGAGCATCATCTCAGAGGGGCAGGAGGAAGCCAGGACCTGGTCCTGGAAATCAACAAAGCAGGCCAGGCAGGAAGGGGGAAATGGTGATGGGAGGGAAGATGGGAGGCATGAAAAGCAAACTACCAATTCAACAATAAATTAGCACAGTTTCCTGAGGCTTCCAGCCAGGAGTGCACTAGACTACCTAGAGATGAGCTCCTTAAGGGGAGCACCGTGCATTCCTCCATAGCTCCAGCACCCAGCACAGTGCTTCCTCAACTCTAAAGGACAGCCTTCCTTTTGTCTGTCCATTTTTCATCTCCCACTTTACCAGGCCATATTCTCAACCCTGACACTCCCAGCGGCTTGAAAACCAGCAGGAGCACAGAAGAATCAATGTTGCGAGTACTCTCTTAAAGTGTTCCCCTTTAGAGAGTAGTGGGAGGGGAGGAGTTCCTTTGCTGCTCACCTTTTCTTAAATCGCCTGTGTACATCAGACACCCCATCTCTCCACCCTGTACCTTAGCCAGAAAAGAGAAAGCAGTGGCTTTGAGGTAACAAATTCCCCCACTGAGCACTCTTGGCATTTGGAAGACACAGGATTGGCTTGGGAGTCTTAATTGAAGTCAAACATTTAACACACATACATGGAGTTGGTCCCTGTTTACAGGTAGCACCTCTGGGGCACAGAGACATTGGCTCCGGGCTGCTGTTCCATTTACCTTCACAGTAAAAACACTGGACGTGGTCTTGTTCACGTTCCGCTTTCATCCGTAAAGAAATCCCAAACACTGTCATCACAGGAAGTTTATTACCCGCCTCTCCCTATATATTATAGGGGCACTTTGTATACAAGAAAGGTTTAGTGATATTTTTAGTTTTTAAAAAATCAGGGAATCTGTGTTACTTATGAAAATAATGGGAGAGGATATCACTTGTCTTTGCGGTGGTGCCAAAATAAAAATTTAGAATGTTTTAAAGTTATTATGAAAATTAAGCTCTAAGTTAGAAAAATTAAAACGAAGGGAGTTGGGTAAATTTTGCAGCATGTATACCAGACCACGCAGCTGCGCCTAGGGCACCACGTGAGTCGCCATCTTGACGCTGAACAATTAGGCCTAGCATCGCCGGCTGGAGCCTTCGCTAGAGTGGCACATAACTGCTCATCAAGGGATAGTGACACTGTAAATGGAAGACCAGCCACTGGCTCTGAAAAAAATAAACCTTGTCAGTTTTGGATTCCAGCATTCATGGCTTTTACGTGTTTGCATAGAAGGGGGTGGCCTGCCAGGCCCAGGGGCGGCCTGGGGCCAAGGTAGGGTGGGGGCAAAGCAAGGCTGTAAACACTGGAGTCTGTACCGGCTCCCAGTCCGTCCTCACACCATGTTATGGGAGAAGGGTCACAAGGTGTAACTCAAGCAACTTAACACATGAAAGTCTAAAGTCCACTCTTGACATGTAAATCTGTGCGTGCGTTAACTGAAAAATAAAAATAAAACAAACAAAACAAAAACAGACACATTAAAAGGTACGCAGACCAAATCAAACAGAAGCAAAAGACAGCAAGATGGACACTGGGAAAGGGCAGTCAGTTTGGCCTGTGTGATGAGCAAAGCAGAGAATTCACTTCATTTTGTGGCGTCCCAGGCTGAGGGTCAAGATCTGATTGGGAAGTAATTTTGCAAAAATGGGTTAAAATTTGAAAAAGCCATTCAACTAAATGGTCATGAAAAATACCCCCACCTCCTCCCCCCCAAAAATTCACTCCCAACTCACCCTGTTCCCTTGACCAGGGCAGGAGGAAGAGGTGCTCCCAGCCCACTCCCGGCCTCCACAAGGCCGGCATGGGAAGAGACCTCTCTCCCAGGGACCAAACTGACTGAAGCTTTCTGGCATGTCCAGCAAACAAAAAAGACCTGTTTTCCAGGCCCGGACCTGGAGAACATACCAAGGCACCCAGGCCACAAGGGAAAAGCAGGGAGACCAGTGTCAAGCCTCCACTCTGAGGGTTGTGCTGGTGTCCTTGCAGCCAGCCTGCACCCTACCCCCACTATCCCTCAGACCCTGACCTGGTCACAGGTCCTTGTCTTCTATTTCTGACTGATTTCTCCATAACTTATTTCCTAGGAGACCCTCCTACCTCTTCTTTAACAAGATGGCCTGGGCCAAGGTGGCAGGGAGCAGTGCAAAGTCACTCTGGATGCCAGACCCCCGTCCGCCCGCCAGGAGAAACCAGATTTCAAGCTGCCAACTTGAAATCCAAACAGGCTCCAACTCACAGAACTCCCGCGCTCACCAAGCCAAGAGCTCAACACGAGACCAGGGTGGAAACAAATGCAAAGCAGAGGGGATATTCACACGACTGAGGGGAGTGTAGGGCTAGGGTCCTCCCTGCGGACAGGCGGGGTCTCATCTGTCCCAGTGCTGCCAGCTGCTGGGGTGGGGCCACCAGGCATTGGGATGAGAGAGTCTATAAAAAGGAGGAGGGTCTGTCCTAAAGCGAACGACAGACCTTAGAAATGAGACCTGGCATCTAGTTCCTAAATGCCTGTTTTTGTGCCCACAGCCTCCCCCAGGGAGAAGTCCCAGGGGTGTCTTTTCCTTAGTTTGTATCTGTACCTCTGAGCATGTGTGTGCTTCTGTGTGCTGGCAGGCATGTGCCTAAGTCTGTGTATGTGATGGGGCAGGGAAGAGAGTGTGTGTGTGCTTGTGCATGTTGGGGAATGCAACATGTGCATTAGGGGAGGTGGGGGGTGGACAGGGATGCTTCATGGCCCTAACGGCTAGATCCCACTGCCACCAAGGAAGGAAGGAAGGAAGGGTGCAGACACACACATTCCCAAACATTCCTGGAGGAAATGGATCCCAAGAATGAGGGCCAGGTTGGGCAAGAGAAGGACAGTACCTGATACAGGCCAGGGGCAAGAAGTAGTGGGAGTGGATGAGATCCCGCATTGGGATGTGGCATGGTACTGAGAATAAAGTGGGAGGAAGAGGGAGATCGCGGGGAACCAGGGCATTTCTCCAGCTACAAGTGTGGAAATAGGTGATGAAGAATGCCAAGGAGAAGTGACTCAGGGTCGCCCCCACCTGGCCACTAAGTTAACTGCACTCCTGGTGCTGGGAAAAGCTGCCCTGCCATCCAGGCTTCTCCTCTCTGCAGGGACAATGCCTCTACTTTAGGGACATCCCCCTCACCAGAAGAACCTGTAGAGCCCCTATGGGAGACTGCTGTCCTTCCTTCAGCTCCATATGCCCTTCAAAATAGCTGCACAGTGATCACAGTGTCCTGGGGGTCAGTGCTGGCTGTCACCACTGTTCTCAGTCACTACCAGCTTGTTAATACGAGTCCCACACCCACTGCCTCACGGACTGAGGAGGGATGTGCCATGGCTGTCCAAACAGAAACCACAGGAGTTTTTGGAATCTGGCTGGAGATGCCAACATTCCCAGGCCCTGGCCCTCTCCTGGCCTGATAGACCTTCCCAGAGATCCCTACAGCTATACCTTGTTGGGGCTACTCCCTGCCCACATGGCCCAGCCTTCACCGCCCTGTAGCAGAGGCCCAGCTGCCGAGGAGGCTGAAGGAGAACAGATGAGAGAGACAGAGAGAGAGAGAGAGAGAGAGAGAGAAAGGGGGCAGGGGAAGAGGGAGGGAGAGGGGGAGCAAAAGATAATTTGGGCCAGAGAGAGTGCATGAATATAAGAGAGGTCCGGACTGCAAGACATCAGACCTCCAGTGAAAGGAAAAGAAAAAGAAAGGTGATCAAGAAAGGGGTGGGAGAGCAAGTGAAAATGAGAGAGCACAGAGCAAAACAGAAGCCTGTGAGAGAGAGAAGAGGGGGAGGGGAGGGAGAGTGAGCGAGGGGATGAGCAGAAGCAAAGAACCCAGAGTGGAAGGCTGTGAGCACCCAGGAGAAAGGAGAGCCGGTACAAAGAGGAAGCCTGCCACCTACTTCTTCTTGTCCTTGTCCTTCCTCAGGGGCTGCTGCGAGGTGGCGTGCAAGGCCTGCGACTGCAGTGCCTCCACGGCGGCCTTCCTGCGGTTGAAGGCGTTGGTCTCCTCCTCCAGCTCCCGGCGCTTTTCCTCCACCTTGCGCTTCTCCTCCTGGTGGACCCGCTTCAGGTGCTCAAACTTCTCGTGGAGCTGGGAGCAGAAAGGGGGGGAGTTGGGGGAGGGGGAAGCAAAAAGGGGTGGGTCTTGAGCCTGGGCAGGGAAGGCACTCAGGCACG